CTGTGCCAGCCCAGAGAAAACGACGTCTCTGCTTATCAAGTTGCTCCAGGGATTCTTTCGTCACCTTCAAGGCAGTCAGGAGGTAGATTGGCTGCGCTGAGAGCACAGACTTGACTAGCGTAGCTCTTCCAGCTGCTCCCATGTTTTTCCCCCTCCAACTTGCGACCTTTCCTAAGATTTTGTCAAAAACAGGTTGCAAGTTCGTCTTCCGCAATCTTCCAAGAACTAGCGGGAGGCCCAAGTATTTTAAGGGGAAACTTGCCATCATTGCTGGGAGACCCTCTAGCACGTCTGTCAGATCTATGTTATTGTCACACCCTGAAGTTCTCCTCCTAAGCCTAAAATCGAATTAATAAATGACCCTAAGAAAATACCGGTGCAAATCAAGAGAAAACCCTAAGGAATCAATGCAAATAATAATCGAATCTGGCATGTGGAATTTTTCTTGAGTTCTACATGTCGAAATTCACTAACAAGATTTTTAGTGCAATTTTCAGAGCCCTAGAAATAATTTTAACCAATTAAAATTGAGCATGCAATATTTTAAATCCCAGGGAAAATCTTTTCCTCCTTTTCTTTTTCTTTTCCCTCCTTTTCCTCTTCTTGGGCCGTCGGCCCAGTCCACCCGGCCGCCGCGCGCGCCCTCCTCCTTGTGGGCCGGCCCAAGCCGCCCTTCCCTCTCTCCCCGGGACGCCCCACCTGTCAGGCCCGTCCCCTTCCTCCAGCCGGCGCAGCCGCGCCCGCAACCGCCGCCGCGCCCACGCCTCCGCCTCTCCCGGGTCACGTCGGCCACGCCCGCGCATGCACCGCGTCCCCCGCACCCACTTCCCCCTCTCTCGCGCTCGCGCCCGCGCCCGAGATGGGCGGGATTGGAATCCCGCCTCTCTCTCCTCCCCCACTCCCCACGTTGGCCGGCGGAATCCCGCTCCTACCGGCCACGTCCGGGACTCCCCTCCCCTATTTAAGCTCCCTCGTCGCCCCCTCTCGCTTTTTCCCCATCTCGCCGAACTCCCTCGTGCTCCCCATCGCTCCCGCGCTGTGCAACCACCCGCCGCCGCCGCTTCCGTTACTCCGGCCGCCGCTAGCCGCCGCTAGGCTCGCCGCCGCACCACGCCGTCGCCGCCGCCGGGTTCACGTGGCCAAGGGCTACCCCGTCCACCCCTTCTCCGTCGATTTCCGCCGCCGAAACCCACTCCACACCGTGCGCCGGTGAGTTCGGCCGTGGCCGCCGCCTTCGGCCGGCGTCCTCGCCCTCCCCCTTTCGCCTCTCCCCCTCTAACCCTTCCTTTCGGTTTATTAGGTGGTCCCGGAGATCGTCCCGCTAACGCCGCCGCCCTCCGTCGCTCGCCGTCGTCGGTCGTCGTCGGTGAGGCCCCCTTCCCCTCCCTCTCTCTCTCTCCCGCGCCGCTAGCTGCCGCTTAGCCGCTGCTCTCCGCCGCCGGCCGGTCGTCGCCGGTCGTCGTCTCGCGCTGCCGCCGCATGCGCGCCGCGCCGCTGCGCGCCATGGCCGCCGGGCCGGCTTAAGCCATGCCCGCGCGCGCCGGCGCGAGCCTACCCAAGGGTAGATCGGGGCCGTCGGTTCGGCTGCCGCGTGGCCGCCGCGTGTGCGCCGCGTGTGCACCACGTCGGTGCCACGTGTGCGCCACGTGGTGCGCCGGTTTTCCCCGGTCCGTGGACTCGGTCCGCCGTGGACCGCCCTCCCGAGTCACTGTCAGGTGGGGCCCGCATGTCGGCGCCGCCCTCTCTCTCGTCGGGATTTAATTATTGCGCAATAATTCAATTAAGGATTTTTCTGTTTATAGTAAAAACACAGTGAATCTTCTAAAATTTATAACTAATTCATCCGAGCTCCGTTTAAGCCCATTCAAGTCTCAGTAAATCAAGAAAAATGCGTAGAATCCATTAAAAATGGTTTTGTTCCCTGTTTCAGTAGTCTTATAGCCTGTTTGCATTGTTTGCCTTGTATGTCGTTAGATTCCGGCTTTTCCGACGCTCCGGTGTACTTCGAGATAGTCGCCGAGGTTCCTCCAGCAGCAAAGCAAGGCAAGTCATGCTTGTCACTTGACCATGTTAATCCTATATTGCAAATGTCCTAATGTTTTTCTTTCAAATACTGCATTTGTTTTGCAATAATACTATGGGATGATTACCTATTGTTACAACCATGCTATTTTGATACCATGCTCCTTTGTTAGCTGGGGTTATAACATGAATAGTTTTTGGACTAGGAATTGCTTAGCCATGCTTAGTTCAACTAGCACACAATGGGGAAATCTCATTTAAAACATAGACTGTAGGTTTGTATGATAATGTTGGATTAGTACCACCGCTCTGGTGTTGGTTAATTAAAATGAATCACATGGCGGGCTGTGGGTGCATGGTTTTGCTAGTCGCACCCATGGCAATTAAGGACCGGTTCGCAGGAAACCCTGGAAGAATTCCTCGTACTTACCACAAGCCAGCGTGGGCAACGGCTGGGCTTGTAGTGTAGCTTTCCTCTAGCTGACGCATCCAGGCAAGGGTGGGCATGATGGAGCGGGACGGGCCCTGCGACGGCCTCTGTCGCTTTCGGATCCACCTAGGCACGAGAGGGGACTGCCCGTCGCCCGCTGGGGACGGGGGTGAAACCTGAGGTGTGGTGTGCTTGGCTAGAGGGGGTTATGCGAAGGGTCCTGTCACGGCCTCTTTCCGGTATGTCATGGTGGCATGTCAGCACACGGAAACGTGTCGTGGGGCTATGTCTTGTGGGTACAGTTGTACACCTCTTATCATAGTAAAACTATTCGAATAACCGTGCCCGCGGTTATGGGCGGTCAACCAGACTCACCGTGATTAGACTCATCTTAGTTTAGTCTAATGAAATTGGATGGTATAGGTGGATGGTTGGGCCTGTTGCAACGTGGTGGAACGTTGGACAGTGGATGATTAATACTGCTTAATTATTACAACTATTTTCGCATACGACTTCTGTTTATAAATGCCAGTATTGTGCAAATGAACCTGTTTAGCTCTCCCTTGTTAAATCCCTGCATCATACCACTATTCCGGTATGACCTGCTGAGTACAGTGGATAGTACTCAGTCTTGCTCTATTTTTCCCCCAACCCCAGAGTATGAGTATGTGTCCGATGGCGGGTTCTCCGAGGAGTAGGCTTCGTCCGTGCCGTCGAGGATGCATGTGGAGTGGTGTTCCCGCTGCAGTTCAAGTCAAGGCTTAGCTCCTGTTATTTTTCGTTTTCCGCTGCATTTATGTAAGACTTTTATAATGTTTGTAAGACGTGGATCTGTATGTCAACATTGTCGTTTGTGTACCCCGGCCGGTCCTGGACGGCGGTTTTAATGCACATTCTGCTTAGAATTCTATTCGGGAATTTCTGGGCGTGACAGTTATCACATCTGATTGCCGCAACTTGGGATTTCTGGAGGTTGGTAACGAGCCCAGTAGCAGTACCGAAACGGTGTAGGATGTCCGCAAAGGCCGTGACATCGTCTCGGGTGGGATTAATGAAGATGACAGCATCGTCCGCATACATCGAGGTCCGCAACCGAGTCGTTCTTCCTCGCAACTTTGAAATTGCGCCCAGCTCTGTTGCCTTGGAGAGGATGCGCTGCAGAGAGTCGATTGCCAAGATGAAGAGGAGCGGCGAGAGGGGGTCCCCTTGCCGAAGTCCTCTTCCATGTTTGATCCGCCGCCCTGGTGAGCCATTGAGGAGGACTTGAGAGGTGGAAGTGGAGAGTAGGGCCGCCAGCCAGCCTATCCACCTGGTTGGGAAGCCCCTGTGCTGCAGTAAGGCCATAAGATAATCCCATCGCACCGAATCGAAAGCCTTTGTTATGTCCAATTTGAAAAGCAACATTGCTCGTCTCAGTCGGTGAAAACGTCTGGTCATGTTTCTGACGAAAAGGAAGTTGTCATGAATGCTTCTTCCTTTAATGAAAGCACTTTGGTTGACCGGGATCAAGGCGTGCATATGGGACCTCAGTCGTAAAGCAAGCAGCTTGGAGAAGATCTTGGCAATACTGTGAATTAAGCTAATTGGCCTGTAGTCTGAGACGCCGTCGGCCCCATCCTTTTTGGGGATTAGGACGATGTTTGCTGAGTTGATTAGGTTCAGGTGCGTACATCTGAGGTCATAGATGGAGTTGAAGACCAGGAGGATGTCCCCTTTGATGATATCCCAGCAAGCTTTAAAGAAGGCCCCGGTGAAGCCATCCACCCGGTGCTTTCACCTAGCAAAATAAATCTGTGTAGGAGATTTCGAGATATTCCAACTTGGAAAGGTTGCTGCCACCCACGTTTCCTAACCAAAGGCATCTGTTTAGGGTGCTGGGTGCTGAGACTGAGAACCTCAAGGACGACAACTCGGCAAGGAAGAAGACGGGCTACAGATCGAAGGCGGAGTTCCAGATTACGCCAAGGCAAGGGAGAAGCGCATTAGTAAAAGCAACATTAAATACTGAATTTTTATTATTTATACATATTTTTATTAAAATATTTACAAAAATAATTTTTTTTTCGAAAATTTACAAATCTAATCGCCTGCCGCCCTGTAGAAGGGCGATTTTTAAAAATCGCCCTCCCAAAGGGCGGCAAGCGATTATATTTGTAAATTTTCGAAACAAAAAATTATTTTTGTAAATACTTTAATAAGAAAATGTATAAATAAAAAAAATTCACCGTGTAATGTCTTGGGCTTGGCCCGTTCTGTACCGAGAAGAAAGTCTAGGCGTGAGTTGGAACCTGGTGGCGACGGTGGAAATCAATTGGTTCCATAATCTATCCTTGTGTTCTTGTGTTCTTCTGAGAATCGAGAGAGGAGAGAACCTAACAGCATCCATTTCTCTAGAGCATTGACCCTCCCATCGTTTGCTAAAAAGGGCTGGGCTAATTTAATATCACACTGTCATGCAAAGGCAGCCTGTAGAATTAGATTAGCTGATTAGGTCGATTTCGCGGTATGGTGTGAATCGCTCCCCGATTGACTGTTAACTTCAGACATCTCAAAATTTCAGTATATAATTTTAGCACATAGCATGGGTATGCATCAATATTGAAATTACACAAATACACTATTGTGTACTCCTACTTAGGTGTGTGGTTGTTCTGAGAAATACAACAATAGAACAGATACATGATCTGATGGGCAGATCAGGAAATAGCTTACAACCAAGCAGTCACACACTCACCCTTCACATTAGATTACAACGAAATACTCGGACATAACATCAGCATGTCTCACATCTTCACATGTCGGATGACATCGAGAGAGACTCTTTGATGGCACGCAGTTCATTGATGACATCTCCGGCTTGCGTTCTACTCGATGGCAATTCCTGAGAGCAAGACAGCCCAAGTCTAAGCAGTGAAACAAGGCATTCAGTAATACTGCTGCATGGCGAAACATCTCGAGCCTGAAGCCATTTCTCGGAATCCAAACCAAGCTTCCTGTCAACAACATCCATCAGTCTACCATGTAGACCCGGTTCAACGTACTGACGGAGGCTCAATCCAGTTCTGAATGTACTATCTGCCGGCCGCATCCCGGTTACTGTTTCCAACACTAGAATTCCATAACTGTAAATATCTCCATGTGTCGAGGCAGTGTTCCCGACACCATACTCTGTTTTCCAGAAATAAAAATTATTTCATAGTCATAAAACATTAAAGAGAAGAAAACAAACAAAAAAATAGATTTGCTACGGTCGAACAAAAAATATCTTGAGATTCCGATACCTCACGGGCACGGTACCAAATCGTTTCCTGATCGTTAGATCTAACAATGCAATGATCGAAAACTATTTAATATTGTGAGGTACAAGTATCTGTATCTTTAGGTATTTTTTGTTGGACCAGAGCAAATCTAAAAAAAACAATGAAAGGAGGTAGACATAAACAGTTTAGGATTAACCTGGTGCTGCGTAACCAATTGTCCCCCTGATTCCCATCGAACTTGTTGACTGTTGCATCAATGAGCTTCCCTCAATAAGTATTCTTGCAAGTCCAAAGTCTCCAACATGGGCTACCATATCAGCATCTAACAACACATTGCTTGATTTAATATCACAGTGTACAATAGGTTCAGGGCCATGGAAGTGAAGATGGTCCAATGCACATGCAACATCAAGTAGTATGGTCACTCTCTGATGCAGAGTCAAGTGCCTTTGCTCTGCTTGATCATTTGTTTCAGGGTGTAGCCAATCTTCCAGACTGCCATTGGGCATGAAGTCATACACAATTGCTTTGAAATCATTCCCTCTGTTATCGATGCTCGAGCAAATCGTAACTATCTTGACAAGATTCCGGTGTCGAGTATTTCGCAGTGTTTCGCATTCGGACGTGAAACTCTTGAGTGCCTTTGGAGTTTCCAGCTTTAGTACCTTCACGGCAACAAGACTTGTGATTTCACCATCTTGACTATCAAATTCTCCTTTGTAAACAGAGCCAAAAGATCCAGAACCCAACAAATGGCTGGACGAAAAACCATCCGTTGCTTTTACCAGCTGCTTGTAAGTGATCATTGGGTGGCCTTGCATGGATGTCGTTGCAGGGACTTCTTTCTTTCTTCTCTTATGACAGGTTAGAAGCATGTAGAGTAACGAAAAGACGGCAAGTGTCGAAACGAGACAGATAACAACCACTAACAGCAGAATTTGATGTTTCTTTTTCTTTCTTGATTTTAAGGAACACGTCGGAAGATGTAGTTCAGGTATGCCACCGCAAATATGGGCATTGCCTTGGATGTAAATTTCAGAAGCATTTGCAAAAACACCATTGGTTGGCACTTCACCGTGGAAGCTGTTGAACGAAAGGTTCAGCGAGTGGAGCAGAGGCATGTCCCCTAAGGACATAGGTATCTGACCTGACAAATTGTTACCTGAGAGATCAAGTGTGTCCAGACCTTTCAACTGAGTCAGAGCTATTGGGATGCTACCATTTAAGAAATTGTTTTGCAGGAAAAGATGCTGCAGAAGTTGGCATTCACCAATGGTGCTAGGGATCTCACCCGATAATTTGTTCGAATCAGCATGGAATTCGACAATATTTTTAAGTTTCCCTATTTCTTTTGGTATTGATCCCTCCAAGTTATGATGGGACACATCCAAAATTTCAGAGAGTGCGGGAATGCTAAATATTTCAATGGGAATTTGCCCTATAAAGTTATTGTGGCCAAGATTTATTTGAAACAGCTTGGTCAGGTTTCCAAGTGTGCTTGGTATTGTACCACCGAAGGCATTAAATTGGACCTCCATATTAGTTAGTTGTGTAAGATTACCGATGGTGAATGGGAGAGAACCAATTAACTTGTTGTTATCTACAGTGAGACGACGTAAATTTTTAAGCTTGCTGAAGGAAGAGGGAAGGGATCCTGTCAAGGAGTTGTTAGCGAGAGAAAGATATTGTAAATTAACGAGATTACCGATATCTCTAGGTAAGCTCCCTGAAATTTTGTTATCTCTAATGGAGAGAGATACAAGCGAAGAGGAAAGATTGGAAACAGAATCAGGGAGGACTCCACCAAATTTACAACCTCCCAGTTCCACTTCTTGAAGATTGGAGCAATTTGTCAATGCCGTCATGAATTTCCAATCATTTGTTTCTTTAGCTTCCAAAAGAGTTTCTGGAAGCTCTAGTCTCTGAAGATTTCTCATCCTTCCAATCTCCGGTGGAACAACACCGCTAAAAGAGTTTAAACCAATGGTAAATATTGAGATGTTGGAAGCATTACCTATCGATGCCGGGATACGACCATGAAACTGGTTGTAATACATGTATACCTCCTGCAGACTAGGAAGATTACTGAATGCATTTGTAGGCAGTGTACCACTTAGCTTGTTGGATATGACTTCGAATATGGTGAGAGAGGAGATGTTCCAAATAGGATCTGGGATCGCTCCACTTAAATTGTTAAAGGCTAAGCTAAGGAAAGATAATCTGCGCAATTGGCCGAAAGATGATGGGATGGAACCAGACAGCGTATTTTCAGCCAGTGCAAGATCAGTGAGACCTGTGAGTTTGCCCAGAGATGAAGGGATTGCTCCGGACAGTGTATTGTTAGTCAGCTCAAGAACCGAGAGACTGGTTAGATTGCCCAAAGCAGCTGGAATCTCACCCGATAGGCTGTTGAAATTCAGTACCAGTTGCTGGAGCCTGATGAGACGGCTGAGCTCCTGGGGTATCTTGCCGGACAGGTGGTTGTCGCTGAGTTGCAGCGTCCTGAGGAAGGATAGGTTGCCCAGCGACGGCGAGATGATCCCGGCCAGGTTGGAGGAGCGCAGCCGCAGCTTCACCACCCTGTGTGGGTGCCGGCGGCCGCACACGACACCCACCCATGTGCAGTGCTGGCCATGGCCGGACGTGTTCCAAGATGCCAGCGACTGGCCCCCCTGGTATAGCAGGGATGACTTGAAAGAGAGCAGCGCGAGTTCGTCGCCGGCAGCATCACCACCACCGTCGTCGTCACTGCTCGAAGGGAAGAGCAGCAGCGCAGAGAAGAAGAGGACGAAGAGCAGTAATGGGAGTGATATCATCGTGCCGAGATGCAGAGAATATCGGTGCAAGCTAAGACAGCAAGAGCGAGAGATGTTTTTGGTTTAGCTCATGGACTTAGACAGATATAAGAAAAAGTGATGTAGCCTGACCAACCACCAACATTCTTGGTCCGCAACTTGTTGGCACACTTGATTTTCAGACTGGAAAACGGTTGGCTGATTAAGAGGATATCTAAACCTGTGGTCATCTTGATATCCAAAAGGGTCATGGTCATTGGTCCTAGCTTGGTTGAATAAGAAGGTGTTAGGGGAGTATCTCCGGATCAAGGGACGCTAGCCTCCGAAGGGCTGCAGCGCTCCGAGAACCATCCTCCCCAGGAGATGACCGTGAATCAAGGCCATGTCGGTCCGCGGCTGGCCCCCCTGCTCCGGAGGCCTCCGGAGATCCGAGAGAATCGGATCTCATTGAGGGCGAGAGGAACAAGACCTAAGCAGGCTTCGGATGGCGGCCGACCGGCTCCGGAAGAGCTCCGGGAGGTCGCAGCGCCATGGGCTCCGGTGACACACCTAGTGACCGAGCTCCGAAGCCCGAAAGGGTACCCGGAGTCCGGAAGGGGAGCTCCGGAGGCTACCTAAGGGCTTCGGAGCTCCGAGGGGCCCCTAAAGCCCGATGTGCTAGCCGGAGTGAATTATGCCTCGATGTGCTCGCGCAAGCCAAGTCAAGAACAAGGCGCTAGCGGGCGCGAATAAATGCGCACTACGCGCCCCAACTAACATTGACACTATTGATGGCAGCTAGACGGAGCATGCTATTACCCGGGGATGCCTTTACCCGGGTAGTAGCAAGGTCCCTCGGGAACAGCGATGCCCCCATGCCGGGGGCAGCTCTCCTGTCCTCCATCAAGTTACCATTAGGACCAAGGCTGGCCCACCGGCCAGTCGCATAGGCACATCGTAAGGATAGGGGCACCGAAGCATTTTCCTCTTGTATATCCCTGTATATAAATGTGTAAATAATCACCCATAGAAGGCAGATGGAATACAGAAGAGAGGTTGATACACTTGTTGAGTTCTTGCAACAACATTGGCAAAAATTAGCTGGGCCCAAATTTCTGAGAGAAAAAGAAAAAAAGAAAAGAGAGAAACCATTATATACCACTGACTTTGTCACACGTCTATGATTTGCCACTGACTTTATCATGTTCTACGATATGTCATCGACTTTTGCTTAACTTCTACAATTTACCATCGCCGTCCGGTTAGTCTCCGTTAGTACTGTACAAATTTATCGAAATGACCAAAATACCCCTGGGAGAAAAGGTTTCAAAATTTGGATAAAAATTATGAAATATCATATTTCAAGTTTTTGGTCAAATTTTGGATGTTTACAATCTTATGTTTATAATATAATATTTTGATAATTTTATCCAAATTTTGGATATTTTTGTCATAGGGGTATTTTGGTCATTTCAACAAATTTGTACAGTACTAAAGGTGGTTAACCGGACGGCGATGGTAAATCGTAGAAGTTAAGCAAAAGTCGATGGCATATTGTAGAACGTGACAAAGTCAGTGGCAAATCGTAGACGTGCGATAAAGTTAATGGCATATAATGGATTATCTCGAAAGAAAAAGAAGAAGAGTTACAAAATGCAAAAGAACTATTGTACCCCTGGCAAAAATAACCTACCTAGTCCCAACTCCCAACCCCACCTAGCTAGCCCAACACACAGCGTCCGTCGGCCGTTCCCATCCCAATCCCGTGCACTGTGGCGGATCCAGAAAATCGATTCGTTGGTGTCATAACGTGTCTAACGGTGTCATAGTATACTAATTATGCTTAGATCATGATGTTATAACATATGAATAAGCAGTTTTGCTATACCTTTTTACCGAGAGTCGTCGGTGTCGCCTGACACCGGTCCTAGTACGTACTATAGATCCGCCCGTGCAGCACTCGAGCAGGCAGCGGCGAGCCAGCGGCGAGTCTGTCGCAGCACCACGGGAACGGGAAGGCGGCGGCTCGATCAAGGGGCAGCAACTCTGGCGCAGCGCACGTACGGAAGGTGGCAGCTCCGGCGGGGCAGCGTACGGGCTCCGACGATGGTACGGTGCGGAAGGGGAAGGTGGGCAGGGCACCTCGGCTACGCTGCAACAGGGTTTGCTCTCTCCCCTCTTGTGCGTCAACGACGATAGGATCGATGCCCCTCAGCGGCGGCAAGCAGCGATCGCAGCAGCATGGCGCGGCAAGCTAGCTAGCCGGCCAACAACAATGGCACATGGCGAGCGACTCGTTCACAAACGGGAGAGGATTCTAATAACTCGAGTGGACGTCCATCCGTTTATTTCATGTCAACTAGATGGTTATGAAAAATTTTCAAAAAAATTAACAAGATAGATCAATATGTAATATATCACTCCACAAACATGCAAGTTCAAATTCAACTTCTACAGATTGTAACAAAAATAACAAATTTAATTGTAAATATATATATAGTAATTTGAGTTTTGTTTGTTATTTTTGTTACAACTTGTAGAAGTTAAATTTTAACTTACATGTTTGTGGATTGATATATTTATATTGATCTATCTTATTCATATTTTTTCAATTTTTTTCATAACCATTTAGATGACATGCAATAAACGGGTGGACATCCACTCGAGCTAAATAGTTTCCCGTTCACAAAGACCAGCGAGATGCCGTTGCTACCTGATTTTCTCTCTCTCTTTTCCTATCTCAATATTTGCGAGAAATTTGTCATGAATCTTTTTAGTCAAGTTTTGCAGCCGTGCAAGTTGTGTGAAAATGTATATCAACTCTAAGAGGAGGGGGGGTGGTGGATTTAGACCCACCGGCAAATTTTTTTTTGTCCCGTCACATCAAACGTTTAAATACATGTACGAAGTATTAAATATTGAAAAAACTAATTACACAGTTTGTGTGTAAATTACGAGACAAATCTTTTAAACCTAATTGCACCATGATCTAACAATGTAGTGCTACAGTAAACATTTACTAATGACGGATTAATTAGGCTTAATAAATTCGTCTCGCAGTTTACATGCGGATTATATAATTTGTTTTGTATTAGTCTACATTTAATACTTCAAATATGTGTCCGTATATCTAATGTGACCCAGCAAATTTTTTTGCCGATGGAACTAAACACAGCCTAAAAAAAGTTGGGCAAATGTAAAAGGGATACATGTCTTTTTATGGCTGAATTGACACCATTAACTGATCTTAACAAAATAGGGGAAAAGTGAAGCTTCATTAGAAAAAAAGTAAAGGTAAAAACACGAACGCTAAAAAAAAAAAAAGGCAAAATCACAACCGGAGTATAAAATAGAGGTAAGAACACAATTACCTCTCATAAATAATAAATAAAATATCCATGCATTGCATATGTATTCTTTCTAGTCAATATTATTGTTATAAGGTAGTCTCTCCACCTTTTGCGTAGAAAACATATAAAATACACAACCCAACTAATTGTGCTGCAGGCCTGCTTCTTTCTTCATTTATCAATAGGGCTGGTCAAATCAATGTACCAACCTGCGACATCCACAATCTTGCTCATGTTCTTCCTGGCAATCTTCCCCATTGAACAACCACAATCACACAAACATTGTTATACATGTTGTCTAAGAGGCAGAAGTAGGCAACCCTCCACGACTTCTTGAACAGAAGGGTACAGAAAACCACCCAGAGACCTGCTATGAATCCCAGTACAACTCCAAGGGAGAATGGCCCCATGCCCAAACTTTGCTTGCTTCTTATCAGATGGCGTTGCTTTGAGGCACTGCTGCTTGAACAGCTATTTTCGAGAGGAGGCCCACAGAGACCATCATTGCCATCATATGGATGCTGGTCATTGAGGGTGTCAAGCTGTGACCCTGATGGTACTCTTCCAGTAAGATTGTTATAAGATAGGTTCAGATAACTTAAATATGTTAAATTGGATAGGCCTACTGGGATTTCACCGTAAAGCTTATTCTTTGAGATGTCGAGCGATTCCAGTGACTGCATGTCGCCAATCCTATATGGAATTTTTCCACTCAAGTAGTTCCTTGATAGATTCAGATTTATTAATCCGACAAGAGAAACTAAGTCTTCAGGAATTGCACCGATCAAGAGATTTGAAGACAAGTCAATGGTGACCACTGGTACAATTTTTTCATTATACAGAAGTTCCTGCCCCTTCATGCTCACAGAAGACTTGTAGTCACATCCAGATAGCCTTTCTTCATTTTTTCTAGTGTAATGCTTTCTCATCATTGATGTCAAATTTGACAAATACTGGGGGATGGTACCTGACAGGCAATTGCAGGCTAGATCCAAATGAGAAAGTCGTCCAAGTTTGGTGATACTGACAGGAATATTTCCAGAGAACATATTGTGCTTAAGTCGCAGAAATTCTAAGTTGCTAAAGTTTCCAATCCATGTGGGCAAACTCCCAGAGAATTTATTCCATGATAGATCAAGGAAACTTAAATTTGTCCAACCTTGTAGAAAAGATGGGAAGTTGCCAGAAAAACTATTGTTACTTATACGAAGAATTGACATCTTTCTCATCCCGGAACACTGAGGAAAATCGCCCTTAAGTAGATTGTCGGATAAGTCTATGCCCTCTATATTCCGTAATTCACAAAAAGATTGTGGAACATGACCAGTGATATGGTTATTTGATATATCTAATAGAGTAAGGTTTCTTGGCATCCGAGGAATTTGACCAGCTATTTGATTCGAGTCCAAATTTAATCTTTTCACTGACATATTTTCCATATCTGTTGGTAATTCGCCACCAATTTGATTGTTCGAAATCTCTAAAAATGTTGCTTTTGAAAATGTCGTAGAGAACCAGTCTGGAAAGGTATCATCTATCCCAGCATCATTCATAATAAGTTCAACAATATAAACCTGCGATTGAAGCCATGCAGGAAATTTGGGACCCATCCAACAAGATGAAAAGTATGCCTTCTCGACTCTAAAAGGTGGTAACCATTCAGGATCCACCACAATCTTCAAGGAATTGTAACACAAATATATCGACTTCAAGTTTATCAGACGCGCAAAGTGCTTTTCAGTGATGACGCCATCCAGATGATTGTTATGCAGGTACAAATTTTTTAGATTTGTGAGCATACCTATCTCAGAAGGCACTTTTCCGGTGATGTTGTTATTAAAGAGGTCAAGAGTGACTAAGCTCGTTAGCCTCCCTATCCCATTTGGAATCATCCCAGTTATATGGTTGCCAGCCAAATGAACTTCCTTCAGTTGTTGGTTGGGTGAACACTGAGGTAAACTATCAAATATCTCTGCAATATCTCCAGATGCTAGCCTGTAATCTAGGAATAGAACCTGCAAATTGCATAGGTTCTTCAAGTCTGCTTTCATGGTGCACATGTTACCTTTTTTTGTGATACTCATGCCCATGCTATACCCCTCATCAAATGAGAAATCAAGCACTTGGAGGGAGTGCATTTTTCCTAGCGCATTAGGGATCTCACCATACAATCCAGTAGAACTAAGATTGAGATACTTGAGAGATGTCAAGTTCCAAATCCAACTAGATTCAGTTGGGTGATTAAATTCGTTTTCGGAAAGATCAAGCGCTTCAAGTTGTGTGACGTTAAGCAGTGGGAGAGACTGTCTTGCACTTTGAAGTGAGCAAGAAGAAAGACTAAGAACCTTCAGAGAAGGAACCATATTCAGAGCATTTGGCCAGTCAAGTGCTGCACTAAGATTAACCCCGTTAAGGTTCAGATATTGCAAGGAGGATAGACGTGCTAACCACGAAGCATCCCCAGAGTAGAGAAACGGCAGATAGTAGATATCATCCTGATGGACAGTACTGATGGATAGGTCGAGAATTTGGAGATTCGAAAGGTTACCGATATGTGGTGGCACCATGCCGGAGAACCTTATCCCGGAGAGGTTCAGATATCTCAGGCTCTTGAAAGACCCCAAGAACTCTGGAAGACGGCCGGTTGGACCCTCGAGGTTGTTCATGCTAAGATCAAGGTACTCCAGATGCTCCAAGGAAATCAGAGACTGGCCTATCTCGCCGACTAAAGTGGCATCGTGATGGTGATCATCTTGGAACGCGTTGCGAAGGTCGAGCTTGATGACATGGCCGGCGGTCTGGTCGCTGCACTGGACACCTCTCCATCGGCAGCAGTCCTGCAGCTCGTGGCCTCCTCCAAGTCGTCGTCGTCGCCATGAGGCGAGGAGGCCTGCGGGGTCGTCGGTGATGCCTTCCTTGAACGCCAGCAGCGCGTCCCTCTCGCGCGGTTTGCAGCCATTCGTCACCTGGCCGCCGTCGGCGGTGGCGACGGCCATGAGGAGGAAGGAGGAGGTGGCAACAACAGCAACGAGAATGGCCGGTGCACTGGTGGAGAAACCATCTTTCGTCGGTCGACCGATTTCCACAATAGTCCCGGATGCAATAAAAACCGGGGCTAAAGATGATCTTTAGTCCCGGTTCAAAAGGGTAACGGGCATATTTGATCTTTAGTCCCGGTTTGTGTTACCAACCGGGACTAAAGATCATCTTTAGTCCCGGTTCGAATGCTGTCAGGACCTGTCAGGCCCCCCCGGGATCTTTAGTCCCGGTTGGTAGCACTAACCGGGACTAAAGATCTTAACTTTAGTCCCGGTTGGCCCGGTGATCTTTAGCCCCGGTTGGTGCTACCAACCGAGACTAAAGATCTTAACTTTAGTCCCGGTTGGTAATACCAACTGGGACTAATGATCCCGGTGATCTTTAGCCCCAGTTGGTGCTACCAACCGGGACTAAAGTCCCACCCCTATATATATGTCTTCTTCCTCCTTCAACTGCCCGAGCAAGCTTCAAAATTTCTTCAAAAAAGAGGGGAGGTCATGCCAAAATTTCTATTGAATTTATTTTGGTGATTACATACAAATCGGAGGTGCCTAAAAGGTTTGCAACTTCATCCTCCAATGTTTTTTTTTTGTCATACTACATTTGCACCTATGTTTTGCACACTTTTTTTGTCTCCAAAATTTAGTTGTAAGTTGATGAGAGAGAAAATGTGTGTGGGGAAGAAAGAATATATAGAAATTTAGTTCATTTGCTAAACAAGGTTTTATAAAATAGTTGAGAAGGAAAACTCTAGTGAAAATTAATATTAAATAATAGAAAACAAACTAAAATAAAAATTAAAAGAAGTAAAACACATTAAAATTAGTTTAAAACTTTACAAATAGTTTTTAAGAATTATTTGGTGTAATATTTTATGATTTTTGTATGAATAAAGATATCTTATAATTATTGTATGACTGTCATTATTGTAAGAATAATTATTTGTGTGCGGTTTTTTTTGACTCATGTAGATGGATCGGCAATGGATGTATGCTGACCGGTGGTCCAAAGAGTTTATTGACGGCGTGCACTATTTTTTGAGAGTGGCCGAAGCTAACAGGCAAAGGGGTTTTATTTGTTGTCCATGCAATAAGTGTAAGAATCAGAAGGAGTATTCTGCATCCAGGACTATTCATTTCCACTTGTTTGAGTCGGGGTTCATGCCAAGCTATAATTGTTGGACATCCCACGGAGAGCAAGGTGTTGAAATGGAAGAAGATGAAGTGGAAGACGACAATATTCCGGACTTTGCTCAGTATGTTGGATTTGAAGGAAATCAAACGGGCGAGGAGGAAATAGCTGCTGATGGTAACGACGTTGCGGATGATCTTGGTCAGATGTTGCAGGACGCCAGGGAAGACTGCGAAAGTGAAAAGGAGGCCCATAAATTGGACAAGATGTTGGAGGACCACAGAACTTCGTTGTACCCAGGTTGCGAGCAGGGGCACAAAAAGTTGGATACCACTCTGGAGTTGTTGCAATGGAAGGCAAAAAATGGGGTTAGTGACAAGGCATTTGGCGATTTATTGAAACTCGTCAAGAACATTCTTCCGGGGGGAAACAAATTGCCCGAGACAACGTACGAGGCTAAGAAGATAGTCTGCCCGTTAGGACTGGAAGTTCATAAGATTCACGCATGTCCGAACGATTGTATCCTATATCGCGGTGAGGAGTATGAGAACCTAGAAGCATGCCCTGTTTGCAAAGCACTACGATACAAGATTAGACGGGACGATCCAGGAGAAGTTGACGGGCAGCTAACAAAGAAGAGAATTCCTGCTAAGGTGATGTGGTATTTCCCTATAATACCACGGCTAAGGCGTTTGTTCAGGAACAAGGGGAATGCTAGAATGTTGCGATGGCACGCTGAAGAGCGTCAACAGGACGGGATGCTGAGACACCCCGCCGATGGTTCGCAGTGGCGAAACATCGACAGAAAATTTAAAGAATTTGGAAAGGACGCACGAAACATACGGTTTGGTTTGAGTACGGATGGCATGAATCTTTTTGGAGAGATGAGCAGCGGCCATAGCACTTGGCCCGTTACGATGTGTATCTACAACCTCCCCCCCTGGCTATGCATGAAGAGGAAGTACATAATGATGCCGATTATTATTCAAGGCCCCAAGCAACCTGGTAACGACATCGACGTGTACCTAAGACCACTGGTCGAAGATCTTAAACAGTTGTGGAAGAAGGAAGGTGTCCCCGTGTGGGACGAGGACAAACAGGAGGAGTTTAACCTACGAGCGCTGCTGTTCGTAACCATCAACGATTGGCCTGCACTTAGCAACCTATCCGGACAATCCAACAAGGGGTACAAGGCTTGCACTCACTGTATGGATGAAACAGAAAGTACGTATCTTAAGCACTGTAGGAAGGTTGTATACATGGGTCATCGTCGATTCCTTGCAGCAAACCACCCGGTACGGAAGAAAGGCAAGCACTTCGAACATAAGGCCGACCACCGTACGAAGCCTAAACATCGCAGCGGGAAAACAGTGTTTGCTATGGTTAAAGATCTTAAAGTAGTGTTCGGAAAGGGGCCTGGAAGCCAACATATAGAGAGCGAAGATGGTCACGCGGCGATGTGGAAAAAGAACTCTATATTTTGGGAGTTACCATATTGGGAATTCTTGGACGTACGCCACGCAATCGACGTGATGCACCTCACTAAGAACCTTTGCGTAAACCTTCTTGGCTTCCTAGGTGTATACGGAAAGTCGAAAGATACACTGGAAGCACGTAATGATCTGAAGCATATGGAACAACGCGGCGACCTTCACCCGGAACCAAAGGAGAAAGGAAGCCATTACTTGAGTCCAGCCAGCTACACTCTTAGCAAGGCAGAGAAGGAAAGTATGTTTGAATGCTTGGAGAGCATAAAGGTACCGTCTGGATACTCCACGAATATCAAGCGAATAATAAGCACGAAGGAGAAGAAGTTCACAAACCTAAAGTCTCATGACTGTCACGTGTTGTTGACACAACTGCTACCAGTTGTAATAAGGGGTATCCTTCCAGACAATGTCCGGGCAACAATAACAAAGCTATGTGCATTCATGAACGCAATTTCGCAGAAGGTCATCGATCCGGATAGATTAGAAGCCCTTCAGAATGAAGTGGTGCAATGTCTCGTCAGTTTTGAGTTGATATTTCCACCTTCATTTTTCAATATAATGACGCATCTGCCTTGTCACCTTGTGAAAGAGATCCGTATTCTCGGGCCTATGTACCTACACAACATGTTTCCTTTCGAGAGGTACATGGGCGTTCTGAAGAAGTATGTTCGTAACCGTGCTCGTCCAGAGGCAAGCATCGCCAAGGGTTATGGAACAGAGGAGGTCATCGAATTTTGCGTAGAATTTATCGAAGACCTTCGCCCAATCGGGGTACCTGAATCACGCCATGAAGGGAGACTACGGGGAAAGGGAACTCTCGGAAGGAAAGCAATAACGACGGTAGACAACAATTTATTCCGTAAAGCCCATTTCACTGTTCTGCAACACTCTTCATTGGTAGCTCCTTACATCGAGGAGCACTTGGCTCTAGTTCGCGCCAGGAACATCGGTAAGTCCGATGCATGGATTACACGGCATCACATTGATACTTTCCCCGCGTGGCTACGACAACATCTCATGGGTAACGAGTCGATCAACCAACAACTTGCCTTCCTGGCGAGGGGACCGTCTGGGTCGATCGCGACATTCCAGGGATATGAGATCAATGGGTACACATTCTACACGAGAGCCCAAGACATGAAGAGCACGAACCAAAACAGCGCTGTTCGTGTCGATGCCATGGGACACGATGGAACAACTGCCACGTATTACGGTGCCATCGAGGACATATGGGAACTTGACTATGGTCCTCTCAAGGTTCCTCTGTTCCGGTGCCAATGGGTTAGGTTGACTGGTGGAGGCGTAATGATTGATGACAGTGGGATGACAACTGTTGACCTTAACAAGGTTGGATACTCGGACGAACCTTTTGTCCTTGCCAATGATGTAACGCAAGTCTTTTTCGTGAAGGACATGTCTAGCAAAGGAAAGAAGGGCAGAGGGCCTGATGAGCCTAAGCGTCAAGTGGTTCTCCCAGGCAAAAGAAAAATCGTCGGAGTTGAGGACAAGACTGACGAGGATTACGATCAGTTGGATGGGCAACCCCCTTTCACGGTGACGATTGACCCTAGCATCCTCCTATCAAATGAAGACACCCCTTACTCACGCAGCGATCACAAGGAGGGAACAATAGTGAGGAGAAAGTACGTGCCGTAATTATTGTGTACACGATGTAAACTATTTTGGATGTATTGATTATCCATATAAATCAATTGATGTATGGCATATGTTAATTACGCACGATTATTAGAGGTTTCAACAAGTTTAAATCATGTATATGTTAGTTATATGTGATACTTACAATTTTTAAAAGTTTTAAATCACACAGGTGGCAATTTCATATGTATGTTAATTAGAGTTTTTAACATTTAATTTACTAGCATTCATATGCTAATTATAATTGACTAGAGGATTTTTAAAAGTTTTAAATCACGCAAGTGGCAATTTCATATCTTAATTAGAGTTTTTAACATTTAATTTACTATCATTCATATGCTAATTATAATTGACTGGAGAATTTTTAAAAGTATTAAATTTAATATATTTTTAAAACTATCATTCATATATTAGAGTTTTTCACAATTTAATTTACTATCTTTCATATGCTACTTATATATGACTATTCGAATTTTTAAAAGGTTTAAATCATGCATGTGGCATTTACATATGTTAATTAGAGTTGTTAGCATTTAATTTAATATAATTCCTACGCTAAGTACATATGATGATTACAATTTTTATTAATTTTAAATCATGCAGTATGTACATTAATATCTTAATTAGAGTTTTTACCAATATAATAATATCATTCATATATATGCTAAGAATATATATAT